CGTGCACTAGCAGATGTGGCACTAGCAGATGTGGAACTAGCAGACGTGGCACTAGCAGATGTGCTGTTAGAGGATTTATGTTTTATAAAACAAAAGTAACTAATCATTCCATTTATAAAATTTCATGAACTATAGAACTTTTGGAGCCCTGGTGGCACAGCGGTTAAGAGCTCAGGCTGCTAACCAAAAGACTGGCAGTTCGAATCCACCAGCTCCTCCTTGGAAACCCTGTGGGGCAGTTCTACTCTGTCCTGTAAGGTTGCTATGAGTCAGAATCGACTCGATAGCAATGGGGTTTTTTTGTTTTTTACAACAACATAATAATTTAAAGTGCTTAAATGTGTAAGAAATGAGTTTCTGTCACGTACGCTCTTCTTTAGTCTTAAGTATCTTAGACAATTAGGAAGAAACGGGCTACATATAGTGTCTTCTTTGCATACTTATTATCTGAGGGTTATCAAAATCCTGCACAGAGGAAGAGATTCTCTTCCTCCAGCCCTATAAGCTTCTAGGCAGCCTGGTGATGTCTTCCACTCAAGTTAAACCAGGGTAGAGTTGCCAGATAAAATACAGGATGCCCAGCTGAATTTGAATTTCAGATAAACAACATTTTTTATAGGTATGTCCCAAACACTTCATGAAACACAATTATGCTAAAAAATTATTTGTTATACTAAATCATTTTTCTGCTAATTCTGGGAACTCTAAACCAAGGGTGCTCACAGGCTCCCCCATAGATTTCAGCATGAATGAAGCTAACAGGGGAGCGCTACTCCTGCTCCAGATCTGTACTGTCTACTACAGTAGCCACTAGCTCCATGTGCCGCTGAGCACTTGAAACGTGGCTTGTCCAATGCAAGATGTGCTGTAAGTGTGAAACACACACCAGATTTCGAACACTTGGTATGAAAAAATGAAAAGTATCTCAAACAATTTTTTTATTAATTACACATTAATATTTGGGGTATGTTAAGTGAAATGTTACTAAAATTAATTTTATCTGTTTCTGTTTACTTTTTTAATGTAACTACTAGAAAACTTAAAATCACGTATGTAGTTTGTATTTGTAGCTCATATGATAGTTCTATCGGACAATGCTTGTCTAGATGGCTCCAAGGTGAGGGATGAGCTAGAATGTCCTTCTTCTTCCCCTAAAAAAGTCAATATTGGTAATACAGGCTGCCTCCCTCACCTCCATCTAGCTACTGGAATAGGCAGGGAGCATGATCACACCAAGGAAACTAAATTTCTAGTAAGGACTGCATACATGGACTGGTTATGGCCACTTTAAACAAAACAAAACAAAAAACATAGCATCCAATACTAGTGAAAGAAAAATCAGAAATCCGAAATTTGACAAATAACTCTTAAATAATTCAAAAGAATAAATGAACATTAGTATGTACATATGTATTTGAATATGTTTATATAAAAATAAAATATCCTCCCAGATCCTAGTTTCAATGGAAGATTTACTCTGTCCCATTATATTGGGTTTTCACTCCTACATATTATCAAAATCACGTAACAAGTAATTTATTTTGTTGCCTAATATGAATTACGGTGATACAAGATATTAATAAGAACCGTTGGGACAAGGTCTTATTTTGGATAGTTCAGATACAGAAGGCAAGATCTTAGTGGTCTCCATTTCATATACATACACTACATATCTGAAATGAAGATACTTGTTCCAGAAGGGTGGATTAACTTTTTTTTTTTCCAAATTTTGTTGCCCTTATTTTCTTAGGCCAAGGTTCTTTTTAAAAAGGGGGAAGTGGGGAGGGTAGGAATCTTTTTAGATTAAAAACAGTTCAGTTATAATAGAGCTTTAGTTTTGGCAGGAATAACAACCTACTCAGTTACTCTGACATCCCACCTTACAATTGTAGTAGCTTTTTGGTTTTAATTCAAATGTTTTTCTCAACTGTCCCCAAGAGTTAATCATTTGTTCATTCTATTCTGTGCTATTGTGAAGGCTAAAAATCCTTAAAATGCTCTCACAAATAAAAATCCTTAGAAAAACTGTATACACAGATTATCTCTAAACACTCAGTAATCTCTATTTTTTCCATGATAAAACTTGTATTACATCTACTTTGAAGACTGAAATCTTTAAAATTTTCCCATAGCAAGACTAGCTATAACTCTTTTAACTATTTGCCCACAAAAAGTAAATTGGTTCTTAAAGTTTTTTCAAATAAAGTCTAAGCTGTAATTTTTTTCTCATTCTAACAGCAAACACAAAGGATTTTTTCCCTCCTTAGTAACTTTTATTATACAGATACAGGAAGAACAATGGTTTCAAAAAGACAACAAAATTTGTCATATCAAAGATAGGGTTGCCAATACAAAAATCAGCAAATTTTTCCTAAACTGAATTATCTATGAGAAGTTCACATCTTGTAGAACTAAAGTGTCCAAATCACTTAAAGAACTTTAAGAAAAAAAGATGACTATAACTGGAAATGAATAGATTTAACTTCATTAGCACTTTAAATCTTCATTGTCAATGCCGTAAGATCCTGGGGATTACAATCTGAAATGTTTTGTTAGACATTAAGTCTTTTGGTGGTTGTCAAAGTTATTCTTATCTAATAGTGACCTACTTCTAATCTTGATTGTATTTTCAATATTAGCATGCTTCCAATCTTCTCCATAATCAAGGAATGATACTCAAATGTCATTTTACTTAGGATTGGTCATTTTGAGAAGTGTTAATAAATTGTGCAAGAGAACAGTAAGGTTTTCTGATGGTAGAGTTTGGACGTAAAGCTAAGGCATTAATTTATATATCTTTCAAAATTTTCCCTAGTAGAACTAATGCATATATTCCTCATTTCCTTAAGATGGGGAAAAGTTGCAAAAAAAGGTTGCTGATTTTAAATGAGATTTTTTTCAATCAGGACCTGATATAAGAAATGTTGTGATCATATACCTTTCAAAGATTAAGAAGGCCTTTGCTTCCATACTTTCTGAAGCTCAACACAGATTACAAATAGCCTGATGGACTTTACTTGAAGTAAAGGTATGAGACAAAACTTCAAAACGATCAAGAAAAGCAATCTTTAAAGCTAGTTATATCAATTAAGCTATAACGTCACAAGACCATTTTAATGTTGTCTTTGCCTCAAAATTCTTGAATGCAAATTTCAAGGCATCCAAGAAGAATTCTTGATGAGGAATCAAATACAACAGTTACTAAATGATTTAGATGCAGACTAAACTGGAAGACAAGTTTTATGACAACTGGGATTTTTAAAAGTAAACCCAAACAAAACAACAAAAAATGTCCATACATCTCTAGGATGTGCTTCACTTCCCCAAAATTAAAATCACCTCTTGATGAATATGTGTGATCTGACCACAAGTGGCTGCCTGGGCCACCCTTCTGTGAGAAAGTCTGATGGTCTCAAATCCTCAGTGGAGCATTCCAAAACCAGTCCTGTTAGGAGCTTGGGCCCATGAGTGTGCATTCACTACACAGTGCTTACCTCTAGAGAACAAGGTGGTTGACACAAACTGATCAAGTTCTCACACCCCACACCTCCAAGAACACTGAAAAAGACCTGCAGATCTTTCTTGGTGCAGGAGGGACCTCTTTCTAATCTTCTTATGGTGGAAGTTTAAGATTTTCCTGAAGAAGGAGAGAAGAGTAAAAGATTATGCTGAGACTGTACCTACTGGAAAGCTTATCCTTCCATATTATAAAATTCAGGTCATAAAGAACTTAGATAAAACCAAGAATATTCCAAAAATCACTTTCTTCTTTCAAAAAAAATTATCTTTCCTAAAGAATACTGCATCTTTCAACTTAATTTCTTAAAACCCCAAACCTTAAGTTACTAGCTCAATTTCTTCTCCCATCACTGAACTAACTGGAAAGCTGAGAAAAATATGGAAAAATTTTGGGTTACCAAATGATTACAGTTGTAAATTCCATTAAAAAAAAACTAGCACAGCCAAACTCATTGAAAAGCAATGAGGCACTTGCCTGACAACTAACAAAAGAGTGGAGCCCTGGTGGTGCAATGGTTAAGTGCTTACCAAAAAGTTGGCAGTTTGAATGCACTAGGCACTCCTTGGAAACCCTAACAGGCAGTTCTACTCTGTCCTACAGGGTCACTATGAGTCAGAATCGACTTGATGGCATTTTATATTTCCAAATAATTTATGTATTTCCAAATTATTACAATATTAAATTATTACAATATATTACAATTATATTTCCAAATAATTACATGTTGTCTGACAACTAACAGAAAAGTAGCCCTCTGAGTTGGGTTAAATGGCACAAAATCAAATACTAGGCAAATTACTAGACTGTAAGCTCCGTGCAGAAAGGGATTTTTGCCTTTTTTTTTTTTTTTTAAACACTGCTTATCTGTACAGCCTGCCAGTTCCTGGCAAATAGTAAGCACTAAAAAAAAAACTTTTTTTGATGAATAGAATGAATATTAACCAATTAGTAAGTATTCTCAAGGGTGAAACCTGGATAAAATGAAGCAATTATAATCCTAAAAATGTTCTGAGAGGTTAGAAAATGGGTTATATAAAAATGTTAACAATATCAACCTTTAATCACATATTAATAACAAGAATACAATGTTTAAAAATGTTATATCTTAAAATATTTAGATGTTATTTAATTGCTATAAATATATTATTGCAACCCAAACTCCTTAAAAGGAATGGAATAATTTGTTAAGAGCAAGCAATCACACGCTGTACTTTAAAATATATTGTTATGTTGCTGTTAGTTGCTGTTGAGTCGATTCCGACTCATGGCAACCCCGTGTGTGCAGAGTAGAACTGCTCCATAGGGTTTTCAAGGCTGCGACCTTTCGGAAGCAGATGACCAGGCCTGTCTTCCAAGACACTGTGGGTGGATTCGATTTGCCAACCTTCTGGTTAGTTGCTGAGTGCTTACCATCTATCAAATATAAGAACATAAATTTGGACAGAAAGTAGCAGTACTTCAGTACTCATTATTTTTCATCTCTTGGAAAGTAGGTCAGTATAAAACAAGTGATAAAACGGTTATCTATATCTATAATTCTGCCTAAACAAATCACTACCAAACTGTGAAGATGAAATCAGAAGATGCTTTTCTGTCTGATTTCATATATATTTTAAGTAAATATGTACATCTTGTTCAATCTTAAAAGGAACAGAATTTAAATAGGAAATGGTGAACTATATATTCATTTATCTGTCTGTAACTTACAAACTGTTATTAAAAACTAAAACTGATTTTCTTCAAGTGTTTTCTCAACTCTTTCGAACTTTAAAAAATTCGGAGGAAAAAGATGCTGGAACCAATAACAGATAAACCTACTATAATGATAAAGGACAGAAAGTGTATAATTATTTTTAAGTATGATATATAAGACCACTAGAATCAGAAGAAACAACAACTATTATAAAATACTTCATTTAGTTTGACCCCAAATTCCACAAACATGCAATCAGTTCTCAAAACGCACTGGACAGTGCATTTGGGGCATTTTATTCACAGTACATCGTCGTTGTGTGCCATCCAGTCAATTCCAACTCACAGAGACCCAACGTGACGGAGTAGAATGTATAGCCAAAAACCAAAATAAAGAAACAAGCAGTAAATCAATAATTGGTTTACCTTTGTATCATCAAAATAATGCTTCAATTGATAGATTATGCTTTAATTATATCAGTAAAATGCTTTCCACATTTCACAAATAGTTTAATATCTTGCTTTTCATATCAGGAAATCAGACTTAAAGGTGCCAGGAAGAGAGTTTAAAACAAAACTTTAGGTTAAAGAATTTAAGTGTTCACAACAGCTAATATTTTAAAACAATTTTCGTGTTTTGAAAATCTTGGAAGCTTTTGAACCTAATTTTGGGGTGAAGGAGTAAAAAACAGTTACAAAGAAACTAAGTGCAGCAACATGCCACGAGGAGCTAAAGGGCAGTAAAGGGCAATACAAAGGTGGAGATCCTGAGGTGAGGAGAGGACTCCGCTGCTGGCTGAGTCTACCACACCAAGGACGGTGAAAAAGGGAACAAGTTCCCGGGGCAGTGGAACCAGCAATGAACTCCTTGAAAGTCCTTATTCACACTGGTGGATGATGGAGATAGATATGTACATGTAGATATATATCTACATATATAGAAGTACATATATATATATATAATATAATATCTATATATATTTGCCTCATTTCCACTGTCAGGAGGGATGAAGTCTATGAAGTTTACCATATTCAGAGCTTCAGGGTTCCATTTTTAATTTCGTTTGCAAGTACAGATCATTTCGCCATACGAACAACTCATTTGATGTGCCCTACAAAAACGCCCTAAATCTATCTTCTTTCATCCTGACCAATGTTTCTCATACTGTAGTGAAGGACTGCTTTTTTCCCGAAACCCATCCTGGACCTGCACGCAGCTTTGACAACAACCAGACTGGTCTACTCTTCAACAAGATGAGTCCATGGATCACGTGCTTGGATTACACAGCAATACGGCATTGCTATAAAAGTTCCTAAACCAGTATAGAAATTGAGAGGAAAATAGTCATGGACTGGTAACACACCAACACCAGTTCACAGACCCCATTTTAAGGAGCACTGATCTAGGTTATAAGCCTAAGACCTTATGATACTATACCGCTTCAGTTTTTACTGAATCCAATTTCCAGTTTTAATTCACCTGTGCCCTTTGAAATTACTGACTAATGAATCATCAACGGTTTGCTCAGTGTATTTCTGGACCGCGCTGCAGAAAGGGCAGGACGGTTCTTTCTGCAGTGCTGCCCGGTAGCGCTTTTTCCGACACTGGAAATGTCCTCTCTCTTCTTTGTCCAAAGTGGTAAACGTTAGCCACATGTGGCTATTGAGCCGAGTGTGACTGAGGAACTAAATTTTTAATTTAAATTTAACTGAAATTAATTCAAATGGGAACTGTCACATGGAGCTAGTGGCTACCACAATGAACAGTACAGTGCTGAAATGTATCATTTTCCCTCATCTTTTAAAATGTAGCACTTAGAAAAAGATCACCCATGTCCTTTGATCCTAAAACAAATATTTTAATTGTACATATCACTTTCCACACGTACATACAGGTATATACACACTTGTGATCATGGCACGTATATTTAATATTTTATTTTTCCTTACACCAAAAGTTTCCTCCTATTTCCATAGCTGCACTGTCCAATACTACAGCCACTAGCTCCATGTATTTACATTTAGGTAATTAAAATTAAATAAAATTAAAAATTCAGTTCTTCAGTTTCCCTCACCATATTTCAACTGCTCAGTAGATACATACGTCTAATGGTGACTACATTGGACACCGAAAAATATAGATTACTTCCATCAACACAGAAAGTTCTACTGGACAGTGCTGTGTCTTCAAAAATAATCTTTTAAAGGCAATATATTTCATATTAATATTCTATAATTAGTCCCTAAATTGGTCATTTATATTATTATGATTTATACTTAGCAAAAAGAATTATTTCCTAATGATAAATTCCTAGAAATGAACTTTCTGAACATTACTGTGGCTCTAAGCTTGTCCTCTGCACTACTTTCCAAAAAAGGTTTGCTATCACTGCTTATCTTGCCAGTATTAATTTCTTAAAAAAAGTTAGCTCCTTTAATACAATGAAAAAAATAATATCTCATGGTTATTTTAATTTGTAATTTGTGGTTTAAGTACATGAGTAAATTTTCCTTCATTATTCATATTCATATAAGTCTCTTCATAGTCTTTTCTCCTTTCTACACTGGGATCCAGATGTCTCAAATTTGCTTAGTCTATAATAATATATAACTATTTCAACTACTATCACTCTCTTTGTAACTTTTGATACAGATATTTTCCAAATCTTCTGTGATCCTTTTAATTGTAATGTTTTAGTCTAACAAAATTTAGTTTATTATTATTCAAGTATATCACTTCTTTGGTGAGTTCTACTACTGCTTCAAATATGAGATGTGAAAATACTCTGTTCTCTTTGCTGCCTTTTCTTTTTAATTCCTATGGTTCTATAAGGTATGGATGAAACATTTTTTCATCTAATCAGTTGTGCTGTTATCCCACTGAATGCCACTAGCCCATATCATTGAATGAATATCCTTTATCTGGCTCCTCCTTTAGAATAGAATATTTTATCATATATTAAGTTGTTGTATGTAGATGGGACTAACTCCAGATTCCTCATAATGTTCCAATGGTCTATGCTGTACAATGCGGGGAAAAAGTTAGCTTTTCAGAATTCCTCTTAAGACAACTGTATTAACCTAGGAAAGCACGTGAGTAGAAGGGGGCATGAATGAACGTGGAGAGCAGTGTTTTGCAAAAAACGCTAGGAAAAGAATTTGCTGGCTGCATCATCTACACAGTGTCTAAACTCACAAAATGCTAACTTTTTGAAACTAGTCAAGGGCTGATTTCATATCTGTATTGAGACTGGCAGAAAACAGGGTGGCATATAAGCAGAGGCAGAGAAACATGAGGTCATACTTAAGAGACAGGATTTGCGTAAGTCACAGGCTGAAGGGCATGACTCTTGACTTTCACAGACCATGAAGTCAGAGGTTCAAGAAACATTTATACTTAAATCTCCAAGGGGCAGAGAGGTCTC